CTCCTACTACTACTACTACTACTACTACTACTACTACTCCTGCTACCTACTACTACTACTACTACTACTACTGCTGCTACTATCATCTACTACTACTACTACTACAACTACTACGACTACTCCTGCTGCTACTACTACTACTACTGCTACTACTACTAATTACTGCTACTGCCACTACTGCAACTCCTACTCCTACTCCTACCATGGTACTCCCACTAATGCTGGGTTGTGATTGTCCTTCAACTCCAGGAGCCAATCTATCCATTTCAGCAACCCTCGAGCTCTGACCACCGGTTGATCAGCAGATTAAGCACTGCGCTCGCGGAGTGCTCAGCCAGGCCGACATCACTGCCACGCCAAGAACCGGCGGAGGCGCCACCCCTGGCCGAGCAGCCACGTTGCGCCGATTCCTGCTTCAGTTTGCCCAGCTTGCGATTGCACCAAAGGGAGTTGCAGACGTGATGCAGCTCTTAGTTGAAACGTCTGGGCATGTATATGCGTCACAGCATTGCCTTTAATACTGCCGTTGCTTTCACAGGCGCACGCGCCAGTCTCATCCGGCACAAGTCACAGCAGCACAGTGGGCGACTCAGCAGATGCCAGAGCTTAAATTTTGATTCTCAAACCCTTAATCATCATCCTCGACCCTAGTCTTCAGTCACTTGCAGATCCGGCTTGGATAATCGAGACAGATCTCGTCCTGAATCCCATACCTGGCCGCTCTTCCTTGAATTCTGTCAATTTCTGTGTCAGTATTCTATTTCTTCTTCCTGTGAGGATAGCTCCGATTGCTGGTGTTGGTGCAGCATTCATTGAACCTGAAGAAGATAACAATGACAACGTCTGGTTGCATTGCTGTGCTGATGCTTTACTTGTTGGCTGCTTCGTGTTGTTGCACTGTCATATCACCAGATCAAATCTTGAGCTTTTTAACCTGTCTATTTTTTTGACCCCTGTGCTGTTATGCCACTCGTGTCCTGTATGACCTGCGTTTCAATGTTACTGCATGTTTTGCTATAACTATTTGTCGCACAGGTGTGTTGTGTTTAGATGGTGCTTCGTTCGTGAACCTCTCGTCGCTTTTGAGCCTGGGTGCGTCTGTTCTTAGGTGTCCTGTGTCGTATCTTCTGCTGAGACTCCGTCGTTTGCGGCCGCATTATCCGTTTGAGTCCTATCATGTGTCTTCATGACCTGGCTAGAAAACTCTTAGCCCCAAATCCTTGACGCTGGACTACTTTGCGAAGAGGTCCTGACTGCGGCTTCTCTTGTTGGCCCGGACAAGGTCTCAGGGAGGGTGTTCAATTCCTTCACCCTTGTTTCGAAAACCCGGTTTCGTAGGCAAAGGTAAGGTGTGGCAACGCTGGGGCCACATGCTAAGCGCCTTAATTCTGAACCCTCGTTTGAACGCGGCCAACGGGTGGTCGTCTTGCGCAGCATGGGCCTGCAGGCTGAGTCACAGCAGAGAGTAGTTTTGCTTGTTGTGTCAAAACTGTCCTAGGCCACTCTGGCCCTGTGTTCCAGGCCTACAGCCCTCCTCAAAACCTACCCTAGGTTAGGCACCTGGGCCTCTATACCAAAACCTGTTGGCAGTGATTGATTCGGTCCAATTGCATTGAACTTGGTCGCAACCGCAGGAAGAGGTTGTGGTTGTTGTTGTTGTTGTTTCAATTGGCGGCATTGTGAAGGTTGCCGGTCTGGCATTTCTACCGGAATCGCTGCCCCAACATGACATGTGGCTCATTCGACGAGAACTTTTTGCTGGGGAGGCTTAGCCTCCTCTTAGGCCTGCAGCACGGGCCGGGCATGCACTATATAGTATTATCCGTTGACCATTTACAATCCACAATTTACAGGCTTCACCTAACACAGCCCGTGTCTGTGCTGCTGCTTCAGAGACAACGCGAGAGTCAGTCCCGCGGCGAAACTGAAGGCTGGGCGAGTTGTCAGGGGCAGAAGGGGTTTGTTTCTTGGGAAGTCGTGCCAGGGCCTGTTGCCGCCTTTCAAAGCTGTCGCTTTGCTAAGCATGTGATGATTGTCTTGGAAATATGTTTCGGGCAATGCAGTTCTTGCCAGAGCGCTCGTCGCATACACCGAGTGTTGCTTCATGTGGCAGGGAATGCAACTCTTGTGCGACGTGTATGTTCGCGCAAAAAATTGGTCCCCACAGATCCGCCGTGAGTCTTGGGCGCTGGCACTACCTCGATCCGAACACCGTCGTAAGATATCGCCGGTCGCAGTACTTCAGAATTGCTTGGCAGCCTGGTCCACACGAAACCTATGCTCGTGCAGTTATGGCGGACGATGGTAGTGGACACACTACCACACGGCGGGGTTCTCAGAAAGTCGGAAGTTGACATTTGCAGGACCTGGAATTGCTATGTTGTTATACTAGAGTGATAGGAATCAAAGCAAGCGGTGTTTTGCTACTGACAGTCTCGGCTGAGGCCGCTCAGGCAAACTGGTGCACAGGAGCACGTGCAGGCCTTTCGTGCGTGTGTGGCAAGTGCTCACTCTTTTCATTGTGGCCTTTACAGCGTGGGGCAGTGTGAGGGTTTTTTGGGTTTCGGGCGAATGTTGTGTTTCCTCGGTTTGTTGTTTCTGGCCCTGGCAGTCTAGCTTCAAATTGAGTTTTTCGGTTGAGTCGCAAGGCCCCTTCGGTTGAAGCATGTGCAGTGCCAGGACGCCAAAGCTAAGGCGCACAACGGTGGCAACCTCGGTCAGACTCACATTCCTGGCCTGGGTCCCTTCTAGGCCCTAGGCTTCGGGGTTGAAGGTCAGTTCTCCTTGGTCCTTGTAGTCACGCAGTCGATGAAGTTCCCGAGATGCCTCGCTTTCAGTGCTTGTTGGGTCTTTAAGTCGAGGGCTGACACTTGTCATGCCAGCACGATTTGCTGCTTCTTGTGTGCGTGAAATATTCAATGTCGTGAGTCTCGAGCAATGAAACCAAGCACGGCTTCATGGTTTCGGAGAAGGCATGTACTGTAATTTCGTTTGATACCGATCTCCTTCCATCGTTCCCAGCAGTGATTTCGCGAAGCACCCATGTGACGGCACAGACTCGTGCCATGGTCAGGTCCGGGTTTGCACCGGCAGCTCCGGAAGACCAAGTTTTGCATGTTCCATTTGCAGGCTCGCTCTGAAACCGTATGTTCTGTAAGCCTTCCGAAAGAATCTTTACAACACCACCAGATCCCATCAGCCTGTTGTAAGATGTTTGATCGTATACATGCAACCCCAAAATGCTGTAAAAGCACAGTGCAGGTTTGAGAACAGCCACAACAACAAACAATCTCACCAGAAGCACGGCTGCTCGAACACGGTGATCCATTGTGACAGCAAAAGTTGAAGCACAACACTGTGGTCAGAACAAGATGCAAGGTGCATCAAGTGGTCCCTTGAGTCTGTTCTTTGCAGGAGATGACTACACGATAACTCATTGGTGCTAATTTTCACTACAACATCACAGAGCAGTGAAGTAGCACATCCATGCAGTAATGTCATAATTTCGTGCAACATTGGCATGCTGCTCCGCCACAGTGTAGGAATCGTGAATGAAACCTGAATGCATACAGAAGGAGGGTTGCTGGTTATGCATGCGGTACACTTGCAAACGACAGAAGTGGCAAGAAGTGATGTGTCGGGGTGGAACAATTGCCAATCGTACGAAGTCATTTAACAGAAACTTTCTAGAGTATGATCGCACGGGGAAAACTTTTTGGAACTCCAGTGCCGTAGATGTATATTCGTACAGAGACGGAGCAGCGGACCAATGTAGTGACCCAGCAATGCAACGGCTCATACTCCAAACGTCTTGTCATATCTAGATTAGCTAGACACACAGCTATACGAAATACATGTCGACCATGGTAGTTGAGCACCTGTAGTACAATGGTAGAGCACACACGCCCGTGGAACAGTGTGGAGTTGTGAGCGAGACGATGTAAGAGAGCAGTTTTACACTGTTGCGAAAAAGGCGTACAGGCGAGGATTGCTGGGCTACCTGTAGCAGTACAATCATGCACCGTTACACAAGCAATGTTTGATGCTTCAGACACATGGCCAATGTAGCCTACAGCCATGGCCGCAGCATAGTATTCTGGTTTAGCACCGTGCGAGTCTACCGCGAAGCGACAGTAGTGTGATGGAGTTGTACGCTCCGGTGAGGAAGTGCAAATAGGTTGAATGGTACTACATCACAAGTACCTCTACAACTCAGAATGATTCATGATGCTGGAACGGCATCGCCAGAACACCACAGTGACACGACAATTGAATATTTGCTCGGTCGGTTGTTGACGTCAGTGTATAACAGCAAGTTTCTGATGGGTTTCACAACGTCACAGCAGGATTTGTGTATACGTGCGACACGTATCCTGCAGATGCCGACACCTGCAGCAAGTTGTGCTCTTGCGTTTCGATGCAGGGGGTATGCCAGTTCGGTGAGAACTGTGTGCGGCCCCAAGACTATTATACTTGTCAAGCACCGCCTAGTGGAAGGAACGATCGCCTTACATGTGGGGGTTTGCACAGTTAGCTAGCCTGCTTCATGCATGCTCGCCGGATCTCCAGCCTGCGTATGTTTGACGAAGAGGAGCGGGCTCAGGCTGCTAAGATGCACAAGCCATGTCAATACACAATTTACCCGCAGACCGCCGTCTGTGCACAAGCTTAGCAAAGCGCTAGGTTTCTTTTTCGACTAGCATAGCCAGAACACTAGCTCTCCTCCCCTGGCATCGAGTGCACCATCGTGAGTTTTCAGGCCTTCGCCCATGGGTGTGAAGAGTTGCAGGGAGCGGGTGGCTTACGGAATATTCTCATCTCAATTCTGCACAAAGTTGAATGACATGCTTGTGTGCGTTTCGGCTTGAAGCTGACTATGCGGTGACTTGAAATGTGTGTGTCTGTGGGTGTGTGTGTGTGTGGTGAGCAGGCTCCCGCTGTCTTGAAAATGCCGAGGCTCCCGATCTGCGGAACACGAAGCTCTGCAAAGACAAGGGTGCATGCCAGGAGAGGCAGAGGTTCTGTGCAGTCTTTCGTGTTCCCAGAGTGGCTCTTGCCTCTTGGATTCGTTCTTGGAGGACAGGCGCTGTCCGTATGCACACAACGAAGAGGAGCTCCGTTCCACAGGCCTCTTCTACAAAAAGTCGCTGCTTGCCTTACTTGGAGTTGGTTCTTGCAGATTCCTGATTGTGATGGGTCCCGTTGAGATGGACATGACCTCCCACGCTTCCACCCTCTCGGTTCCGACCCGTATGCACTCCGTACTGCTATCCTGTTGCCATTGCTGCGTCAAAGCAGTGACGGCGATAGCAACGAGGACAAAACAAGAATATCGACGGCAACATTGGTGATTAGGTGTCTTTCGCATTGCGCGCTGAGGCTTTGCATTTGGCATCAGAAGGCGAGCCCGAGGGAAATCGCTCAGGCTTAGATGATCTTTCCCAAGCCTGGCTTTCCCCATCGCGACGAGCCGGACATTGACGGTTGGGCTGACCGCGTTTGCACAGATGCACAGTTGTGCTGATAAACCTGCGTAGTGGCGGCTTGAATGACAAAGTTTTTGCTGGCTGTGGCCATGAATACAATTCTATGCAACTTTGTGCACTCCCTGATTCTGCTCTTTCCGGCAAAGTCATGACATTTGAGCGTAGGAGCAGGTTTACTGAACTTGAAAGGAGCCGTCGCTTCTTCACAGAACCGTGTTTCGACTGCAATTTGCCGGATTTGGCTGTCTTGTGATGTGATGCTCCGTTCATTCCACATTTTTCTTTTCTGATACAGAGTTCCTATCAACCTCTCAACGTCGTGTGTGGGGGAGAAGCGCCAAACATTGCTCATTGCTTGCAGGGAAAGTGCCGAAACGGAGAGATGTGCCGCTTCGCTCACGGCTCGGCGGAGCAGAGGCAAGTGAGTGGTATGTGGCTGATGAGTTATTCTTATCTGCTTCTTGGTCCTAAGCTTCATGATGCGGAGTTCTGGGAAGCCAGTGAAATTTCAATCTCTCTTGTTGATGGGTTTATGAGATCTCGCCCTGCTTTCATCTGGGTGTCTCAAGGAGTCGGGAAACTTAGCGTTGTACAATACTGTCTGTGGCTGCAGCTGTTCGTTCAAGGTCCTCGCCCAGGGTTCGTGTATGCTTCGGGAAACCTCTGAGACACTTCAACCAGCTTGCTTGCAATCTCTCCACGGCCATGCTCCGCTCGTGCATCCACCTGCGCATGGCACTCATGCAGCTAAATACCGAAAGATTGTGGTGCAGTACGTAGGGCATTCGGTTTTCGATGATAGGAGCTTTGCCGAAAGATTGAATGGGGGATAATAATCGCCTTTTATGGCTGATAGAGGCTGAGGTGGTATCGGCAGTAATTTGATCAGACTGGACCCCGCCCTGGCTCCCAAAGCCTCCTCGGCCAGGATGCACAACCACTTGCGGGGCAAGAAGTCGGCCTCTTCTGCCGAAGGTGCTCTGATTCAGATTCAGACCTGACGCTGATGGCCTGATCGCGGTCATGAGGATGATGAGGTCCGAAGGGCCAGGAGAATGTTAATTTAAGGCGGTGATGTTTCTTGTGACAGGCTCTTGTGAGGTTGTTTGAATTTCAATGAACTTTATTGTCAGTTTCTGACACCCGACGCTGCTTCTCATGCGATGCAGGCGCATGGGCTGTGGGTCTGTGGGCCCGGCACATTGCAGTGCGCTGCTTCACTGTCCGCAGCGTATCCAGCTCTCCGTAGGCGTCGCAGAGAAATCAGACAACGACAAGACTGTCGGAGCTTTCACAGTAGTGGTTTTGTCTTGAACTCGCAGTGGCAAGGACGCAGTCAGAGAATTCAGCCAGGACCTCGCATACGAGGAGCTCGTCTTCCAGCTCTTCTCAGGCTATCCATGGCCTGCAGCTGTGAGCACACCTGAAGATCTTAATCATCAGCCCCAAATATTCAAAGAAATTCAGGCACTCCGCCACACCCCTTCCCAAACAGAAAAGCATAAAGGCGTGGAAACTCTTGAGCTGGCACCCAAGATCTTCCAATAAGTTGGGTAGCAGGTCCCCTGCCAAAGCAGAAGCACGGCTCCGAGTCGCCGTCCAAGTTTGAGGTTTCAATGCCAGACGTGGACTCCCATTCAGACTTTCGGCTTCAGTCCCTGGCTGTGAACTTTTCGCTGATTTCTGTACTTCCAGTCGACCGTTACTTCCAATGTTCCACGGGTGGGATGAGAACAGGTTCTTTCAGCAGGTCTTGCAGAGACCCCGACGTGTGTTCAGAATCTTAAACCGTCTCTGGACAAAAGCCCGCAGCCAAGCTTCGAGCAGGAGCAAGAAGGGGACGATGCTGCTGCTGATGATGATGAGAGTAGGTGTCCGAGGATATTGACAGCGACGGTGACGACATGATGACGACTGCGATGATTGTTGTTGAAGTGTTTTCAGTGGCAGCAGGCAGCACACCGATAGCGATGTCGATGACAACGTAGTCGGCGACAGTCAGAGCGGTGATGTTTATTTCAGTGGTGATCCGGATTAACACCGTCTTCTCTAGCAAGCAAGTTGCACGCCTCAAAGCTGTCAAGTTGCAGCAGTGTTGTGCAAAGGCACCGGGTCCAATTACGACCAGCTGGGCAAGGCTTCCGTTTACAGGGCTACAGAGGAAGCCAGGTGTACAGGGTGCTGAGTACCCTTTGCAATTTCGGAGTTTTGGCACCAAATCTTGATAAGCAAGGTCAAATTTGGAGGGCAGTGTGCCATCCACTCTGCATGGAGTTGCCAAGGACGCCCTGGAAGATCCACAGGTGATTGCACTTTTCTCCTTCAAACCCAATCCTCGCACAGCGAGGCGTCTGATGGCACAGTACTCCAATCTTACGCCGCTCAGTCGATGCCTCGGATGTCCTTCGTAACTTCAGCGGCCCTGAAAGCATGAACAAGGATGTTCAACAAGCATTCTGCAAGCCTGTGCCTGAAGCCTTCGCCGGGGCCATGGTCGTTTTCGCTGGATTTTCCCGGGTTGTTGACCACGGAGCTATTGGACCCTCAGCTCAACTGTCGTGGACCAGAGCAACACCTGCCGATTCATGCAATCGCTGTTTTTTTCTCGGAGTGTCCGCTGTTTGAGTGTGCCCTCTGCTCATGAAGGGCGTGCTGCAGCTGCTATACCTTGCGGACTATGCAGCACCACTGATGCTATGCTGCTTTGCTTCAGTCACAATTGTTTGTGGCAGTCTTTTTCGTCGGCTTCGTCAGCGTCTTCGTCGTGTCGTCCCAGCTTCTGCCGCTGCCTTTGCCGCTACGATGACCGCTGCCGCGCCGGGCCACAACTATGTCTACCAACATGGGCCGAGGGTTCGATGTGAGTATCTAGGCTTTCGGATTCGGCGGTGTTCGTTCATGAGCTTCTCTGCAGCACGTTTGGCAGAGCATGATCCGCTTGTTCAGAGACTTGCACGGTCTGCACCTGCAAGTCCTGGGCTTAGGCTTCTCGCAGCACATGATTGGCCGCAGGCCATGTCACTTCGCCCCAGCGTGTTGCCGGGCGAGCATGATAGCACTTCGGACTTAGGCACAGATCACTATGGTAGTGCAAAGCTGGTGGCTGGTGAGTTGATTGCCGTCAATGCCTCCGTCGCCACGTCCCACCACCACAGCTCCTCCGTACCGCTGCGAGGGCACCAGCTACACCACCGTTGGCAAATACGTCGGCATATATAACAGTATACAGATGTATACATGTATACAGTATAGCAGACTGCAGGCAGCTCCTGCACAGCAAGGGCCTCGGCGTCATTGCAAGGTCGAAGTTGACAGTCTCTCCATTGTGAGCGGCTGCTGGCATGGCAACGACAGTCGCTGATGTTTTCTTGTCGAGTTGAGCATAGACCACGGGCTAGCTGCAGATTGCCTTGTCTGCTTCAACAAAAGCTGATTTGGCTTATTCCAGAAGTTAGGACTAAACTGCATCCTCGTCTGCATTCATACACACTGCCGTATGTACATGGGTACCTGGACGCAGAGAAGGGGAAAGAGCTTATACTTTATATGGTCAGAGAAGGAACTATGCAGCCAAGGCAGCCCCCGCATCAGAGACAGGCTCGGGACTGGCTCAGGGTTCAGGGGCTGTCGACTCGTTCGCGGGGTTCAGGTCATAGGAGTCTCGCGGCTTAGGCCCGGTCGCAGAGTTTATGATCTGAGAGTATCGGCCTCCTGCTTTGCAGGACCAACTCTTTCGCCGGACACTCGCATCGATAGATAACGTCTGGCTCGACAATCGCGTGAATCAAGATATCATTAGTGGGGGAGAGGAGATAGCCGACAAGGCGACAGTTGTGCACCGTCTTCAGCAGTCTATAGAGATGGAGACGCATCCGAGTAAGCACTCTTTGCAATGTAGTCTTAACGTGCATTTCGTGTTGGTGTTGCTGAACATGATCGTCGTCTTCGCCACCGTCGTGGTAGTGATTCGGTGCAGCATAATGATTTCGATGAGGTCAAACTTCGCACACCTCACATCGCAACCTTGTTTGTGTCCTTTTTTTAATAGCCAAGCTGCTCAAGAATACGTCCCGTTTGCCTCCAACCTGGTGCATTTTTTCAATTTACTTCTCTTCTTGATTGTATAAGGGACATGGGATAACATGTCTGCATGTGGCAGGCTGCTCTCTGCAAGGCTTCGGTTTTCGAATCCTTCTGATTCGAGCCTTCTGCCTCGAAGATCAGTTGCCCTTGCAAAAGACAGGAGAAGCAGCACAGAAACGAACTGCACCATGTCACGAAGAAGCTGGAAGCTGGAAGGAAGGGCTTTGTCCGGTGGAGTGAGTGCCAGGTGGTGCTCCAGGCATCACCGCTTGCAGGCGCCCTCGAGGCCCCTTGCTTCTGAAATCGTTTGGCTGATGCAAGATCGTTTTTTGCACACGTAGCTACTCCGACAAGCAGAAGCTCTCCCACTCGATCGCACCAACACCCTTGAAGCGCATGACCACAGTCGTACTAATTATGCCTGCTCCATGCCATTAGCCTTTCACACAGACTGTAACTTATACCTGCAGCCAACATGTCCTCACTTGACCTGAAAAGTCCTCCCACGCCAGGTGCAGCAGCAACAACAGCAGCAACAGCAGCAGCTCCAGCTGAAGTCGCAGACCCAGACCGAGCGTCCAAGGTGTTTGTGCCATCCGTGAAATGCAATCTCCGAACCAACCAAAAGTACTTTCTGTTGTGGTTCATCAGACAGTTGATGGGCGGATTGGACCACATCCATGTCAGCCGGGAAGGACCTCGACTGTGTCCGTTGCAATATTCAGGGTCGTTTCATTGTGTTCAGACCTTGGAGCATCCATGCGAACGGGATTTCTAGACCCAAGAACGTCAGAACGATTTTCATATCATAGAGCTCAGCTTACAAAAACAAGCCAACAGTACGGCAGGTTGGTACATCCGGGCTACAGGAGAGTTTGGAAAGAGAAGCCAGCAACATCTTTGGACGAGCCGTGAACCACAGCATGATCCACAAACCTTGCGGTCGTCATCTTGGTGTCGTCATCTTGGTTGCATATCCCGCGCGCGAGGCTGCTGCAGCTTCAGCAGCTCAAAGCATTGGTGGAGTCGCACCTGCCATCTGCAGGCCAATGGACTATGCATGCAAAGAATACCATATATATATATATATATATATATGTATATGTGGGTAAGGTACATCTGTATACGCTCTGTCTGTATGTTTATACATATATATATATATATACATTATGCACACAAGCTATTCTGTTTGATGTATACTTGATCCACAACCTGTATTCTGTTATGTTTCATGCTGGGCGCGCGACCTGATAGCAAGCTACCCGCTGCTGCAATCGTCCCTAAGACATGATGACTTACAGCCAGCGCCCAAGCAAGCCTCGTGAAGCACCATTCAGCTTGGCACAAGGCTTCTTGTTGTGGCATCGATCCTCAGCTCAGAGACTTCTGCTGATGAATGCATGCCCCCGAAAGCACTACAAAAGCAGAAATTGGTGAAGGCCCCGTACCTCTCTCGAAGCCTGCTCAGGCTTGCAGATGCCACAGATGACACAGGCAAGCCTCCAGGAAGCAAACCTCCAGGCCCCTTGCTGCGATTGGTTGCGCTATAGGGTCGCATAGACTATCAGACACGAAGTTTGGGATACTAACTGGGTATAACTGGGTGAAACTTGCTGGGGTCCTTGTTCCGGCCCCAGGATTTCATCCGGCCTCAAGTTTTTGCAGCCATGGGCAGCCTGAGGCCGACATGGCATCCTTGACGAGAAGTGTGACATCGCTCTCCGAGCAGTTGTCACGGATAGAAGACCAGATGCACCCGCTCGGCCGGCTCGTTTGCGGGTCTCAGTAGGCCCAGGTGAGGGTATGATGGGTTCGGGATGCCTCGTGCCTCCTAGCAAAAAGCGCAGCGACAGTCCAAGCTGGCTGGCGCGCCCACAGCGACGTGGCCCTTGCCGCCATAACGAGCTTGCAGCGACTCTGGCTTGGGATGACGTTCCACTCTGCGGATGCAGCTTGCAAGCGTTGCTTTAGCAATGCTTCATCAGACCTGCGTTTTTCGATTGGGGGGGACTTCGTTTGGAGGCTCACCCGCCAACGCATGCGTGTTTCGGCTCTTGGCGGGTTTTGGGGCACCCGCCGGCGAGCATGATGAGCACCATGCAGCACGAGACGATATTTTGCGTGTTTTGGAGAGGCGGCGTTGTTAGGGCACAAGGGGCGTGCGTCATGGGCATCAGCGGGGTCTTGGGGGCACCGGCCTGCGACTGTACCTGCGCGGGCGCAGCTTTCAGAATCGTATTTTTCCTAAAGGGAACTAAGGGAACTCCAGGACTAGCTGACAAGTGTCGCCGAATTCCAGCCCAAGCATTTCTTCGCCCATAGAGTATCACCCGGAGAAGCGCCAGTTTCGACTAAGGCCCTTCCGCCATGTGCTCTATCTGCTTTTGCGACGGCCAAATTTCTTCGGTCTGCTATTCCCAACAGCAGTTTTTTGCAAGTCAAGGTTGTGGAGTCGTGACGCTCCGCACATTGATTTTGAAGGTATGTGAGGAGATGGGATCAGGCACTTTCTGATCCATCTAGGCTCTGGTTGATCAAAGTGGGGCCGGCTCCTTGCGGAGAGCTAGCCTGGAAGCGTGTCTGCTGCAAGACTCTTGTTGTCCACCGCGATGGGTGCCGTCTGTGCCAGGTACCCCAACAGGACTCCGATCCCCGCTTCTCTTCCGAACGATCTCGCACTGCAACAGGCCTGACTTCGACTCCGTGACTATTTGTATAGTACTGTATTACCTTGTCCGAAATACTATATCTGATATACAACATGCTATAGCGTACCATGTTCCACATACTCTAGCATCTCATACGTTTTTACAGCAGATAAAGCTGCGAACTGACAATTCGAAGATGGGCCGCTGGCTTGCTTGGTAGCTTTCCTGCTTTCGTGGGCGGCCGATGGTCCTCTGCAGTGTCGGCTGAAGAAATGCAGCCGTGTGAAAGATGGTTGACGGTTTACAGTCCCGAGTCACCACTCCTTCATGCCGTGCCATCTTGTCCTCATGGCTTCGTAGGGCATTGCTGATTCTCTACGTCTCCACGATTATTCTCGTCGAGCTCCAGCCTGATCACCTCCAGCACCCTGCAGGTGCTTCAAGGGTTGCAGCAGCAGCTCCAGTCCTTGCAGCAGCAACAGCTTCTGCAGCAGCTGCATTCCCAGACCCGGATGCTTGGCCTTTGAATTGCGGTGAGGTCTCGCTCTGGCATGTCCTACCTAAATCCGCCCAGCCGAGGAATCAGCAGCAGCTGCAGCACCAGCAGCTCCAGATCCAACAGCTCCAGCTTCAGCAGGAGCGGCAGCAGCAACAGCAACAGCAGCAGCAGCTTCTGGCAGCCGTGAGCTCGGTCAGCACCCCGGTGCTTCGGGTTGGTAGTTTCCAGCTCACGTTTTGGACTTCGCACATGGCAGGTTTTCGGGCAGAGGCCCAGTACAGAACACCGCTCCGCCGACCAACCCGCCCTTCCCATCGTGACAGCGTTTCGGGTGTTACATCGAATGTGGGGCCACCAAGTTTCCCGTCTCCCGACCTTGAAAGTTTAGATGCCTGTTCGGTCCAAGGCTGGCTCGTCGAACCAGCTTCCGGGGTGCGTGGCCAGAGTGGAGGGGAGCAGAGCTGGTCAGGGTAACACTTTAGCTTTCAGATGCCTAGGGCTTGTTCTCAGGAAAACGCTAGCCTCAACGGTCTATCGCAGCACACTCTACTCAAGCAGCCAAACGTACTGTACTTTCACTTGGCTGAAAAAGCAACGCGATGCTAGCTGGTCTTGCAATATCAGCAATGCACATAGTTTATAGTGTCATAGCAAACCCACAGGCACACGAGTTGTGAATGGTTGAATTAAGAAAGCTTCCACAAAAACACGAGTGGTGAATTGTTGAATTTTGTGAACTTCCAGTTTCACTTCAGAAGGAGGTCCCGCATGCCACGAGCAAATGGATGCCACAACGTGTTATCGCATTTCATGTGATGTTGCAATCTTCAACAAGTGGCATCCAGATTTGGCCAGATAGAACGACACAGTGCCTGGATCGGCCCGTAGTAACACTTACACATTGAGCAGAATAATACAACAGTGATCTTAGGCCTGTGCAGGTACACGGCCAACAACCCTCCGACGGCAGTGCCGAACATCGATGGTTACGTGCAGCTGTTGTTTGGCGGCAGGTGAACCTTATGGCTCCCTCAGCCCGAACCCCTCATGCCCTAGGTTAATCCGTGTGTGCTGATACCAAAGCATAATTTCAGATCATGTGTAGGGCATGTGACAGCAATTGTAGGGCATGCGTGCAAGTCCTCCACGCTCATCGGCTTAGGCTACTTCAGCGGGAATTTTTGGAATGAGATCTATGCAGCAAGGCCGACAGTGCGAGCTGATTGCCATGCTTTCGCGGATCAACGCATCATGCAGCTGCGAACAGTCATGTTGTGCTGCTTTAGGCGATCGCCACCCCTCCTTCTCGGTACCTCGGCTTGACGGTTTCACAACCAAGGGGGCACTCTCGGGCACAGGTCAGCCATTGTCAAGTCTAGCTCACAGATCAGACGAAGCCTGGAAAGCCATTTGTTGATCCTCTGCACGAGTCGGTGCTGCACCCGCAAGGTCAGCGCCGTCGTGGGCCTCTGTCATAGCTCTGGAGGTGGTGTGTGGCCAAAACTGTAGTGCACTGTGGGTTGCTTTTTATCCCATGCAGGATTTACCGGACTGCAGTGGGTTGCCCACGAGGCATTGGTGTTGTAGAGTCCTACGGGCGGACCACAAACTGACGAAGCATGGCGACCAACGTCTGCGTGGTCCACTTGAAAGGTTGGTATTTAGTAAGGATACAAGGATTCCGTGTGTGTGGTGTTGAAGATTGAGGAGGACCAGCGTGTAAGGTCCGCTGACTCCTGGAGGCATCACGTCCTGCCTTTTTCCAAAGAAATTCATGCGATGCCGTGGCTTCTTCCATTGAAGTTCGGGTCTTCATGCCATGTTCTCTTTTTGCATTGCCCTTGGACTGCTCGGGGCACTTAATTTTCTTAAAGTTGCAGAAAAATGCAACTTTGCGCGCCCGTTTGCTTGGGCTTGTTTCTTCATATAAGACTGGTTCAACTCGAGGTCCTAGTGGGCTTTCTTGGGATAAATGGCCTGTGCCGTATGCTCGGCTACCGGAAGAGTAGTTGTTCTTATCTTTATCTTTTTCCAAATTTCGGGCCGCATACTTGAAGCACCTGGTATCTTTGCAGGTCAAAGATAGCCGGCTGCTCCGACCTCGCTACCACAACCAATGTCAACACACTTGCAACAAACACTACTGCTGCTGCTGCTGCTGCTCCCACTACCACTACCACTACCACTACCACTACCACTACCACTACCACTACCACTACTTAGAGGATCATGGGACTTAGTGAATAGGTTATAATTGGGGTTATAAGTCCCCTAAGTGGGGTTATCCTAATTATAACCTACTTATAACCTTACTTACTAAGTCCCATGAGCCTTCAAGTACCACTACCACTACCACTACCACTACCACTACCACTACCACTACCACTACCACTACCACTACCACTACCACTACCACTACCACTACCACTACCACTACCACTACCACTACCACTACTACTACTACTACTACTGCTCCCACTACTGCTACTGCTACTGCTTCTGCTAGTACTACTACCACTACCACGAGCACGACCACTGCCACTGCCACTACCATTGCGACTGCTACTACTAGTAGTAGTAGTAGTAGTACTACTACTACTACTACTACTACTACTACTACTACTACTACTACTAGCACTAGCACTGGCACTAGCACCAGCACTAGCACTAGCGCTAGCCCTAGCGCTAACGCACTGGCACTAGTGCTAGCCGTGGCGCTAGCACTGCCACTGCCACTTCCACCACCACCACCACTACTACTACTACTACCACAACTACTACTACCTTCTACTTGCTACTTACTACTTATACGACTTGAAACTTACTACTTACGACTTGAAACTTACTACTCACGACTTGAAACTTACTACTTGCTACTTACTGCTTGCCTCTTACTACTTACTGCTTACTATTTACGACTTGCTACTGTCTACTACGTTTGACTACTCACCACTTACTACTTCACCCACTACCCACTACTTCCTACGTACTTTGTACTATGTACCACTCACTACTTACTACTTACTACTTACTACTTACGATCTACCAGCTACCATACTACCTCTTACTACCTGCCACTTGCTACCTACTACCTACTACCTACTTAATTCTAGTACCCATGCTGCTGCTACTACTACTACTACTACTACTACTACTACTCCTACTACTACCAGTACTACTACTACTACTACTACTACTACTACTACTACTACTACTACTACTACTACTACTACTACTACTACTACTACTATTTTTCATTCCAATCGCAGCCGGTCGCTCAGCTTGGCGTCAGGTACGTGGCAGTGCATTGCACCGGTGCTCCAAGAGCACTAGCACCACATGGGCAAGTCCCGCTACGAATAGCTGCAAACTTGCGACCTACTCAACTTGTCAAGAGAAGAGAGCTGTGCAGTGTGGCACTGATGCCCACAATGTCAACAGTATGCATACTGTTGCTACAAAGGTGCGAGAATGTAAAAGTGTGGTGAACCGAGTCTATCCGCGAAGCAATGTTTACACAAATGTACATTGTACAGGTGGGACTCAAAGCATGTACAAGTGGCCCAAGGGGGCTCACTAGAGTGGCCAACATGGCACACTGACGTACCACTTACTGTGTTGGGGTCGGCAGCGCAAACTCCA